GTCTCCCCCGCTTCCACTGTCACCTTGTCCTGGGGCTGCTGCAGTTGGAATGCCTGACCCACCTGGGCACACACACCTGGGCAGAGAGACAGAAAGGTTTGGAGTTGACAACAGGCCCCAGGGCTGGGGCACAGCACAAGGCACCATCAGACCCCCTGAGCCCCAAGCATGGGACAGAGAGATATTCTGGTCCCTTGTCCCCCAGGCTGCTGGGAACTGCAGCACGAAGAGAGCCTAGACTCTTGCTGGAGTAAACTGAATTTCAACTGGAGATAAAAGCAAGCTGGAAGGGAGGCTGTGAGAGGAGATCCCTGAGTACCCATGGGCACAGGGAAGCACTGCCAGGCCAGCAGGGTGGGAAACCATGTATGGGAAATGTGATGGGGCTGTGCAGGCCCCACTTACCCGGCTCTCTGCAGAGAAGGAGCAGCATCAGGCACACGAGAGGCAGTTCCTGTGCCACCAGATCCATGGGTGTTTCACGCCTTGCTCGCTGATGGCTGGGCTCTGCTCAGCTCCGTTGGAGTCTGCTGGACTAGGCTCAGCTGACTTTGCTGGATTGAGCTTACTTTAGCAGGGTGCTGGACTCTTGCCCAGCAGAAGGGAAGGAAAGGGGCTACCACCAGCTCAGTTCCTCCTTGCAATCACGCTCCATTTGCTTCTCAAACAGACACCCATCTCCTACCACATCATCTCCTATCACAACGCTGGTCCATAATGGCAATGTCCACCCACTTTCCCCTCAGATGCATGCCACAGCCATGGGCACAGGCACCGAGCAGCCAGCAAGAGGGACCCCGCATCCAGCAGGCTCCCACACACACGGCCAGCCTGTGGCTCAGCACCCTGGGGTGCCCAGCCCTTGGCAGCAGGATCGGGGTGTGGGATGGTGTCTCCCGCGGGTCGGTGGTGCAGAGCAGTGCCCGGGATACATCGAGCATCCCACATCCCGAAGCCCCGCTGCTCCTGCTCCCCACCGGAGCGGGGAGGATGCAAAGCTGCTCCCTGTCCCGAGCCCAGGGCAGCTGCTCGGTGCCAGGCGGCCCGGGAGTGCTGCCCAGTGGAGTCTCGGTGGGGTGATGCCCGGTGGGGTCTCGGTAGGGTGATGCCCGCCGGGGATGATGCCCGGTGGGGTCTCGGTAGGGTGATGCCCGCCGGGGGTGCTGCCCGGCGGGGTCTCGGTAGGGTGATGCCCGCCGGGGATGATGCCCGGTGGGGTCTCGGTAGGGTGATGCCCGCCGGGGTCTCAGTAGGGTGCTGCCCGGTGGGGTCTCAGTAGGTGATGCCCGCCGGAGGTGATACCCGGCGGCCCCGAGCAGACACCAAAGCGTTAACCACGCGCTCGCCTCAATTTCCTGTCCCTCTTCCCCTTCCCTAAATTTGGGCAGAACCCATGGCCGCGGCAGCAGCTCCACTCCTGTCCGGGCAGCGAAGCCCCGTCCAGCGGCAACTCTTGGGTGAGTCAGAAGTGGGGCCCCCCAAATCCTCTCGGAGCACCCTTGCCCCGTCTTCCCCATAAACGTGAGTGGGCGGCAGAGATAAACACCGGCGGGGCGGAGGGTGGTCCTTCCCCGAGCACCTTTTGGGGTCAAAGCGTCCCCGAGGGTGCAGAGCATCCCCCAGCCCGGGGATGGGCACAGCCGAGTCGAGCCCTGCCGAGCTGCTGCCATGCGTGTCAGGGACTTTGGGCAGGAGAGGTCTGGGGACCCAAGGGGTTTTGGGGACCCAAGGGGTTTTGGGGAGCAGGAGGGATTTTGGGACAAGAAGGGGTCAGGGGGCTGTGCTGGGCTACAGGGCTGCACATCCCTTCCTAGAACACTGGTTCCTGGGTGGCTCCTGGCTGTGAACCCCAATTCCTCCCAGAGCCCCAGTGATCCTGGCTGGTGTGGAACAGGGCCAGGGTGTTAATGTTTAACAGCACTCGGGAGTTTTTCCTGCCAGGAATTCCCCTTTGCTCCCTCTGTACCTCTCTGGCCTCCAGGCAGCTGCAGCACCTCCTGCAAGCGACAGAACAGGATGCAGATTTATCAAATCAAAGAATTGCAGAACTGTTTTGGTGTCAAAACATCTCTGAAATCCTCGTGCCCAACCATTAATCCAGCACTGCCAAGATCACCACTAAACCATGTGCCCAAGTGCCACACCTACGTGTCCTTTAAATCCCTCTGGGGTGGTGACTCCACCACTGCCTTGGGCAGCCTGCTCATTTTTCAGATTTGCCCCTTGTTCATTTTGAACCAGTTTTTGAAGAGTTTCCTCCCTCCCAGTGCCTGCATGTTGTCTCTGCCATTTCCCAGGATATCTCTCAGCTGCAAATTGGGGGATACTGGGGCTTCTCTGTCTGTGAGGCTGCCCTTGCCTTAGCCCATCGCTCATCCCTGAACTCTCCTGTCTCTGTGCCCAGGTGCGGGTGCCCAGCTGGGTCAGAACTTCAGACTGCAGCAGCCCCAGGCCAAGGTGTCAGTGGCAGTGGGGGAGACGCTCACCCTGAGCTGCACCACATCTGGGATCGCTGGACCAGGTCCTGTGATGTGGCTGAAGGGCTGGGGCAGTGAGAACAAGACTGTCTATGACCAGAATAAGCAGGATCCTTCCTCCCGTGTGACAAGAGTAGTGGATAAGTCTGACACAGACTTCACCATCCGCATCAGGAACGTTCAGCCTGAGGACACGGGCAGCTACTACTGTGTGAAGTTTGTCAAGGGGGACACTGGTGATGATGAGGTGTTTCAGCATGGCCGTGGCACAGAGGTGTCTGTGCATGGTGAGTTCAGCCCAGCAGGACACCTCTCCCAGGGAGCTCATCCCATAGCCCCCACCCTACCCACAGTGAGGTCCTGCTCTGCCCCACACCCACCATCCTCTCCTGCTCTGCTTCTGTCTCCACAGAGGCCACCCTGCTTCCTGGAATGGTGGCTGCAGCTGTAGTGCTCTGCTTCCTCCTTCTCCTCGGCCTCTTCATCGCCCTTTGCATGTACAGGAGGAAGCTCCAAGGCAGGGCAGGCAGCCCCTGCCCAGCCAGGACAGTGGCCATCGGCAGCTTCTCATCTGTCCCTCTGCAGTGCTGTGCAGGGACCCCCGGCACCTCCAGGTTTGTACTCAGCACCTCTTCCTTCTGCACCTGCTTTATCTTGGCTTCCTTTCTTGTCTGGAGCTGTAACTTGCCCCAGGAAAGGTCCTTTACTTGCGGGTGCAGTGTTCTGTCAGTTCTCTCTGCGTTTCACAGGAGCTTCATGGTAGGGAGCACTCAGTACCAGGGAGCTCCTGCAGCCCCTCACCGTGTGTTTGAGCCCAGCCCAGACGTGCAATCAGCACTTTGTCCCTATTCTCTGCTTTCAGCAGGGGCATCCTGCTGAAATTCGGGAGGGGAATTGAGGGCTGTGCTGGGTGGGGAAAGGGCCTGGCTTCCTTTCCTTCTGATGGCCATCCTTATCCTTCCCCCTACAGTGAAGTCCTGGATGCAGAGAGCTCCCACCCGCCCAACCAGGTAGGAGTGAGCTGTGAGTATGGGGAGCACATCCCATGCTGATGGCCTGGCAGGAGTCCTGCAGGACTCTGGGGCCAGGGGGGACATCGGGTGGGCAGCAGCTGCCTGCATGTGCTCCCTGCACACTCTGCACCACAGCACCACCTCTGCAGCTGTGGCATCTCCAGCCTGGCTTGAACCTGCTTCTTGGTGTTGTCCCGTGCAGGGCCATGAGGTGGTCTGGGTGATCCTTGTGGGTCACTTCCAACTCTCGATGTTGTGCTTTAGGGTTATTTTTGCCAGCCTTTCCTCGTGGCAGCATTCCCCATTTGTGTGCACTTTCGCAGCAGAGCAGCAAGGAGGAGAATGACATCCACTACGCCGAGCTGCAGCCCCTGCCCCCGGCCCCACGGCGTGGCAGGAGCCCGGGCACAGCCCCCACCGAGTATGCCAGCCTCAGGGCAGCTGCCAAGTGACGCGTGGCACCGCTGCCTGCCCGTGGCAGGGTGCAAGAAGGGACGTTTCTGCAGGGCACAATAAGGAAGAAGTGGGGCTGTTTGCACGGTGCACCCTGATCTCAGCTCGGCACCCCGTGCTCACCATGTTTGCATCTCAGGGGAGCTCTCCCAAGAACTGGAAGCTTTCTCGAGCACAGGATCAGACCACGAGGCCAAGCACCTCTGCCTTGTGCAAGCTGTTTGGTGCTGATGACACCAGGAGGACCTCACACACAGCTGTGTCCACCAGCATGGGCCTCCACTGGCCCTTTCCTGGCCCACAGGTTCATAATTCGTGTTATCTTTTCACCACCCTCATTAAAGCCAGCAAACAGCCTTCTGTCCAGTCCTGCTGTGCTCAGAGCAATAGTGCCAGTCCTGCAGGGTCCTGGGGGGATGTGTGCCCCACACAGCCCACCCCCATGCTACTGCTGAGCCCCCAGTCAGCTCCCAGCTCCTGCCTGCCCCAGGCAGGGAACCTACCCAGTCCCACAAAACCTGCATCTCCTGGCGAGGCAGCAGGAGGCTCTCAGGAATGGCCCCTGGTGCTGCTGCTCCAGGCTGAGGCCCAGCCCTTGCCCACCTTTCCCTGCCCTCCTCAAGGGGCTTACGATGCTGGTACCAGCTGGCCCTTCTGCCCCTTCCCCTGCTCCATGCACATCTTCAGCTCCAGTCCATGCACATCTGCTCCTGCACATCTGCTCCATGCACATTCCCTGCTTCGTGCCCACGTGTTTGGTGCCCACCTCCAAGGGAAGTGGGCCAGTGGCAGGAAGCCAGAGGGCCGAGGTGGCAGTGGCAGGAATCTGCAGGTCACCCTCCACACTGGCCACTGCTGCAGCCGCCAGCAACACCCAGTCACACATACAGCCCCCAGCCATGATCTCCCCAGCCATGGCAGCTGAGCTCCCACCAGGTGTGGCCCCAGCAGCCCCCTTGGCAGGAGGAGCTGAGGCCAAAACAGGATTTCCAGGCAGAGGAACCTGCTGCCAGCACAGCTGCCTGTGACCTTGAAAGCTGATACAGTCACCAGTTTTCAGCTCTATCTACTTTTTTTCCTGTGAAATGAGAAAAGAGAAGTGAAATAAGACAGTGTGACCCAGGGGAGCGGGGCTGGCAGGGAAATCCTTGAGGGGACAAAATTGTCACAGTGGGGAGAAGAGTCACTAAAGAAATTGATTTGCACGACTGAATATGAGTCACCTGCTCTGGGGATGTCAGGTGGGGAGAGTTTGGGGTCACCCCTCTCTCAGGGACAGCTTGGGGACACTCAGCACCCCATAGGCACAGTGGTGGTGAGGAGTTTGCCAGGTCAGGGGTCCAGCACCTGGCCTCAACCTGGGGGTTGGGGTGTTGGGATGAAGCCTCTCCCAGCATCATTTCCCCAGTGGAGGCATGACCGGGCCATGAATCATTTCCTAGCTGAGGAAGCTGCTCTGGGCAGGGCTTGGGTTGCCCAGGCTCTGTGCAGGGACAGCACCAAAACTGGCAGAAATCTCACACCAAGGCTGTGAGCACGAGTATGTAAAATATGTGGGTGAGACCGAAACCGGGGATAGACCTCGAGGAGTGGAGGAAATGAAATTCAAGGGGATTTACGGCTTTTTAAGCACTGGGTTGAATCAGGAGGAGGGAAATTCAGTTTGATAGGAGCATATGCAAAGAAGGGAGTGAGCAGAGCACTGGCAGAATGCTCTGCACCTAGGAAAGGGCCCAGGTTTGCGGCTTACTGCCCAGGGGAGGGATTTGGTGGTTATTAAAGGAAAATCCTTTAAGCCTTCAGCCTGGGGTGTGCTGGCAGTGAAAGCACAAACAAGAACCTGGGCACAGACACAAGGTAGGAGCGTGCCGGGGGGAAGAGCCTGGCTCGGGGGGCAGAGCCTGGCTCGGGGGGCAGCACCAGGCAGTGCTGGGGTCATGGATTCACTGCTCATCCGTGCTGTTTTCCTGGTGCTGCTGGTTGTCACGTCCCACTAAGTGACCTGCGTGGTTGGAGGGTGTGTGGGAGGTCAGGAGCTGCCATTGCTGGGGGAGGCACAGGGCAGTGCTGGAGTTGAGGCTGGCACCAACCAGGCTCTGCTGCCACAGCTGGGGACTTAAGTGCAGAGCAGAGGTGGTGCCTGGATGGGTACTGGGAGAGTGTTGGTGTCCCAGGAGGAGAGGACACTCTGGCTTCAAGCAGGTTTTTGGCTGTGTCCCTGTGCATGGACACTCCGGGGCGGTGCCATGCCAGGTTTACCTCAGCTGTTCCTCAGCATGGTGTGTGAGCCTGGTGCCTGGACCTCATGTAATGGCAAATCCAAGGAAAAGGGCTGGGGAGGCTGATCTGGGCTGCACTGTGATGGGTTTCTGGGCAGCCAGGGGATGCTCAGGGGCTGCTCTGGCATCTGACCCACTCCTGATGCCAGGAGGTGGGAAACATCTCCTGGAGGTGTCAAGGTGAGAGGGCTGGCAGGGCTTACTGGGCAGTGGTGTGTGCCGTGGTGTGAGCCATGGTGTGTGTCACGGTGTGTGCTGTGGTGTGAGCTGTGGTGTGTTCCATGGTGTGTGCCATGACGTGTGCCATGGTGTGTGCCATGGTGTGTGCCATGGTGTGTGCCACAGTGTGAGATGTAGTCTGGGCCATGGTGTGTGCCACGGCGTGTGCCATGGTGTGTGCCATGACGTGTGCCATGGTGTGAGCCGTGGTCTGTACTATGCTGTGCTGTTCCACGCTGTGCCGAGGAGCCCGAGTGGGAAGCGTGGGCTGTGCTGGGAGCCAAGGGCAGCTTGAGCCCCCAGCAGACAGCGCAGAGTAACAGGGAGCAATCAGCTGGAGAGCGGCTGCTGGGAGGGGCTGGTCCCGGCAGCCAGGGGAGGGGAGCAGCGATTCAATTACCGCCGAGGAAGAGCATGATCTCAGCACACAGGCTGGCTGAAATGGGGGGTGCAGGGGTCTCCTTTGTGTCCTGGGGGACAGGAGAGGGCTGGCTGCACTCACGGGGAATGGGACAATGCTGAGCTGTGCGGGTGCCAGGGCTGGGCAAGGAGAAAAAGGGAGAGACAGGGATAAATACCTTGTGCCCTGTCCTGGGGTGCCCCGGCTCAGCAGTGAGAAGCAGAGGCACTCCACAGTGGCAGTGTCTGTCACAGGGGTGGGTGCCCGGGGGATATTGTGTCTCCAGGTCTCCTCCGGTGTCTGACAGGCCAGCAGCTCCAGCCAAGGGCCTGGTTTGTGGCTGTCTCTATCCAAGACACCCTTGTGCCCCTGCTCTGTCTCCATCCCTGCCCCCATCCCCGTCCTGGCTACTGTGAGACCGTGGTGCCCACAAGTCACCAGGGAGAGACAGGCCAGTCCCTTTGCACGCCAGCATCACCCAAACAGCCACAGGTCTAACAGCACCCGATGCCACAGGGACCCCACAGGGCCCCCACGATGCCACAGGCATCCAGGGATGGTCTGGGGACCCCGTGATGCCATAGGGACCGGGCATAGCCATGGGGACATTGTGCCAGCATGCCAGCAGGATGCAGCAGGAGAAGCTGGAGGAGCAGCTGGGTGCTTTGAGGGGGTTGGAGGGACTGAGAGGGTCTCAGAGACACTTTGATTGTCCCCCAAAATTGCCTCATGGGTCTTGTTTATGCCTGCTGGCTGGCCTGGGCTGGGTCCCTGCCAGAAGAGACAACAGGAGGGAGAAGTTCTGGGATGCTGCATGGTTGGAACCTGCTCCCTCCAATTCCAAACCTGTTAGCTCACCCCTTTGCTGCTCCCTGTTTCTCAGGCTTTTCCTTGGAAAGGAGCAAAGCCAGAGTAAAACGGTGATATGCTTTACACTGGTTCTGATTTATTTCAGGTCTTACTATTGAATCTTATTCCCTGGTTTCACAGTTGTTGTGGATTTTCACCAAAGGGGATAAACAGGTCTGGGATTTGGGGTTGTCATAGGAACTGTTTCTGTGCCACAGCCTCAGTGCCAGCCTTGTCCCCTCCTGATAGAGTGAGGCCAGCACAGTGGGGATATCTCCAGCCTCCTAGGCACAGCCCCAGTGACAGCCAGGATATGGAGCAGCCACCCCATGGCACTGGGACACTCGGGATGTTCAGGGAGGAGATGGATTCCAAGCACTGCCCAGCCAGGCCCATGAAGCAAACTGGGAGCCCCAGGCTGCAGACCAGTTGAGGAGAGCTGAAGGTGTTTGGAGGATGCTGCTTTTCCCTGTGGGTTCTCTGGTGTCCAGTAGAAGGTTGTGCTATTGCAATTGCTACTGGGAACCTCTCTGGCCAACCTGGAATAATTTTCATTAAATCTCTGGAGCTGAAGGGGTGTGGAGTGGATGGGGGCCTGCCCTAGGACCATTCCTCATCTCTTCAATCACAAGGGGAGGGGGTAGGCAGTGAAACTGAAAAGTGTCACGCACAGCCTTTGTGCCCAACACTCCTTTGGCCCATGAGGTCCTTCTCTGTGGGACACCACGAGGCCAAGGCTCTGGCAGTGATTAAAGAGGGGTTTCCAGGGCCATGGGACAACATCCACAGGAACATCCAGTGCTTAAGAAAGACTTGCATTGTGCTGTCAGTGTTGGACGGGACATTGCTCAAAGACAATCACCCTCTGGAGCTGGCACAGGGCGGGCAGATCGAGCTGCAGTGCTGGGTCCCACCAGTGCCTGAGTGAGGGTCCCAGAGTGGGTGGGAGGGGGGCCTTGCCTGCACTGGAGTTCCCAGGGCTCTTCATGCTGGATCAGCTGTTGGTGTGGTCCTGGTCCTGCCAACATCCCCGTGTACATTGTACCCAAAGTGAGCCCCGCACGCTCCTGGGGATGCTCCAGGTGGTTTTGTCCAGCAAGAGCTCAGGGTAAGGAAACTCCCTGGGGAGCTCCTTGTCCCGAGGGCAGGACGTTGTGGGGTCCCTGGTTCTCCCTGCTCCTCCCGGTACCGAGCGACCTTAAAGTGTGGCTGTGCTTGGCCGTGGCCCCAGCGCTGGCTGCCCCGAGCCCGGCACAAGCGTCCCTCTGCAGCGAAGTGCGGGGAAAGGGAAAAATATTGAGAGAGGCAGGAGAACGGGGAAAGCAGGCGCTGCGGGAGGGAGCACAGCACGGCATGAAAGCTCCCTCTCAGCGGGCTTTTGTTCGCCCGGGACGTGCCCAGCGCTGCTGCCAGCCCGGAGGGGCTGTGCTGGCGCCGGTGGCTCCGGGCGATCCCGGAGCTCCGCAGCCTGTCCGGCGCCCCGTTCCAGCGACGTGCCCGTGGGCAGGATGCAGCTGCCTGCAGCGGGGACCCCCATCACCCCTCGGGGCTCGGCAGTGCTCGGCCCCACGACGCGCTGCCGAAAAGAATTCCTTCTGACAGATCCGTTT